GGAAAAAAGATAGCTTTCATTTCAGTAGACCATGAAAAGGGTTCTGAGTCCAAATCAGACCTAAGAGAAGAATTCAAGAATCAGTTCTGAACAGAAGAAATATAATGAGTTTAGCGCATTAAAGCACACTGTAATCTTTTGATTAAAACACAGGGGAAGAGCCCATGATCTTTTCAGGAAAGCTTATGTTAAGAAACTGCCCTTTGAAGGTACATCACTATTCTTACAAAACATTTTCTACTTTAAAGCAATTACCAGGATAAGGGCATAACATCCCCAGAAAGAACAGTAAAACATTTGATTATACAATTATTTGAAAGCAAAAACTTTTGAGACTGTGGCCAGCCAATTTACCTTTAGTTTTCTTCCACATACGTACTATTTGGTGTCTATGGTGTTCTTCTCTCACTGAAGACATCTCAGGATATGTTGCTATCTAAGCAAAGCAAGTGCTTTCATTTTTACTCCTGAGAGTTAATGGCTTCCCACAATATTGTATGGAATTCTCAAGTACTTTTTCTCATCAACTATTCTATGACATGTCAACAGCATCTCAGTGTTATACAGTAAGAAAGTCTTACCTCACAGCTCTGATCTCACTTGGCTAGATAAAATGCCCATTAATGCTGGTTGCTGTTATGTGCAGCAGTGTTTTAGTTTAAAACTTTTAAAGGGGAAAAGAATGCAGACCTGACTGCACTGAAAAAAAAAAAAAAAGAAATAATTTTTCTCTCCTACTTTCATTTCATTCTTGGCTCATTTGGATTTTTCAATGCTTTAGACACAAAACAAGGACATATAAAAAGTCAGAAAGGATACCTGGGGTTGAAGAAAACACTTGCCTGTTTAAAGATTCTTTTTCATTACCTGCAACATTTCAAACATTTCAAATTTTCACATAATAATTCTATCCCCTACTTTCAGCATCTGCATCCAGCTTCATTTTTACAATTCATCTTGTGAGTGCTCAGCACATCAGCAAGCCAGGTTCCAGATACTTCACCTTGCTCACCCACAAAATACATGGATACCAACTGTGCATCACATTGTCATTTACAGGGCTTGCTTAGCATTACTGAAGTAACTCTTGCCTGAAGTTGAGGCAGAAACAAATTCCTCCTTTATGAGCCTTAATGGCACTCACTTGGCTCAGTCATCACACCCTCCAACATGGAGCAGAAATGAAAACAGCAATCTCACCCTAAGATTCCTTCCTTCCATATAGCCATAGTCAAGTGATGCCCTTCAGGAGGGTTGCTTTGTCTGGGAAGAACCGCCTAACATTGTGAAGATGCAAATATCTTCAGGCATGGGGTTGGTGACCAAATCAAAATTTGCAAGGCAAACTCCCAGGATTTCCCTGAATTTTGCCCGCTTGACTTCCCAAATGTTTTAATAGTTTTTGGCATAGAAGTTGTAAAATCATGTATCAGAAGTGAAGTTCTTCCTCTGAGGCTTTGGCAACAAAGCACTTTGCAGGATGAGGCCCAAGATATTTGCTTCCGGTATGGGAAGGCTGGAGACAAGGAAGACTTAAATTGTTTGCTAGAGCCATGCAATGAGCTAAGGAGACCTTCACATAGGAACAAGGAAAAGACGTGCACCATGCACTGGCATCAGGGATAGACCAACAAAAGAATAAAGTGCTTTTCTGTCTCATCTCCTTAGTGCAATGGGCACGCATGAATAAGGTTCAGGGAGCACGTTGCTCGCCAGAAGGCAGGCAGCAGCTGAAAGCGACCTTCAGGACAAAAGCTCCAAGATCCCCTGCTTCAGTGCCACAGGCAGCTTGGGATCCAACAGGAATATTTGGGCTCATGCTTTTATGCATGGTACCAGTGCTCCTGCTGATAGCACACAGGAAGGAGAAACTGTACAGGGAGGAGAACTGGCACATGTACAATCCAGAAGGAACATAATGGGATACTAAGTGCCCAGGAAGCAGAGCAGGGCATAATGTTTTCATGCTGCATTTTCAACAGGCTGCAAGAATTTCATTACTGGAGAGTAATTGCACTGTATGTGACCACAAAAACCATAGGGAAAATAAAAGCAGAACAGCATCATTGCTGTTTTGGGCATTCAAATGTGTAGGGTTTGTAACACGTTCAAATAAACCACAGATTTGGACATTACCTTCTAACTATGTCTGTTCAGTCCTGTACTTAGAAACCTATGACCTGCACTGCACAGACACCAAAATGTTGCAAGCCAAAAGCCTCACCAAGGAGCAGAAGATGGTGTGGTGTTAATCCAGAAACAAAAAACCCACAAAGGGCCAGAGGGTTATCATAGCAAGTGGCTTAGATGGAAAACTGGAAAAAGAAAGCTCTTCCAATTTAATACTGTGTCTGGTTTCAGTATTTGCAATTAGCCCAATACTTTAAGAGACGAAATTGTGTACAATCACATTTCAGACACGCAGGCAAGAATGTACTTCTTTCCCCAAAGCTTTTGAAACCATCTGCCACATCTGATGAAAGAGCTTATATACTCGAAGTATAAAAGTATAACAAAATCCAGCAGCTGTTAGAAACAAAGAAAACCTTATTGCAGGCTCCTGCTAGAGACTGGAGAGCATAGAAGAATTAGAAAAAACAAAACTACAAACAAAACCCCACTTCACAATGTTGATGCATGAAAAAATCTTCAGCCAGTGCTTGTATCTTTGGAGATACTTAGGCCTCATTATTTCTGATGCTTCCAGAACTACCTAAGAAATAAATATGAGCCACTTCATACATCAAATTATGGAGACAGAAAGGAACTGTAAATTAAAAGTATCTTCTTTCATTGTCCTATGATGCTTCCCGTGTACTGGAAAAGGTTGGCATTTCAAACTTACACAGCACAACGCAGTTGACACTGATGAGTCTTACTGACTATACAGTGTGTACATGACTTCCCTGGCATATATAGTTTCACAGCAGAGAACTACTACTGTGCAAAACTTGACCTCATCTGCGATGTGGACCACAGAAATATACCTGGATATGCAGGGTGAAACCCCTAGCTCAATAGTATTCAACAGAAAAAGCACCACATCCTGCATAAACATTTCCTGAACACTGGAGAGACACCACATCCTTTGAAGTAATAATCAGAGCATACTGCCAATACACCAGCTTTCAGTCTTTCAAATTTTATCATTCAAGTTGCCAGTGTTTTTGTCTGCCACTTCTATTCAAGGTGTTTAAGAGCATTCTCACACCTCAGCATAAACCCAGTCAGTGAAAACTAAGTCATACTTCAGTGAAGAACTGGTCTGAAATGTTGCAAACTGCATGGGTGATAAAAACAATACTAGTTTTACAGTTCCTGTAAGAGCCTGCATATTTATTATTAAAGATATTTCTTGTTATGTACTTTATTTATTCTGAATCAAACATTCAGTTTGCAAATAAGAAAATGGTGCAGGAAACATACAACTCTTTCAAAGCAACAGAATTCTCAGCTCCGATCACAAATACAAACAGGTTTTAATTCAAATCCTGCACAGAAATGGGAAAAAACACAAGATAACCAAACAAAAAAACCATGTCCTGCACATCATGCTTCAGTTTGTTCCAAATACAGTACCGCTTAAAGCAACAGTTGCTTATCTGTAATTATATTAACAGAATTTTAAATCAGTGTCTTAACTGATATGCAATTTGATCTCTTCATCAAGAACATTCTAGGCCACTGAACCTGTGATACAGTGTACAGTGGGGTTACTGAGGCTTGGGGTTACTTGCTTCTGTGGATGTTGACTAAGCTGACCACTTTCAAATCTGAAGGGATGGCAACTTCTGTTGCAGGAATACACTGTTCAAAAACGTCCACTGGACATCTAATATAAGCCCAAGTTAAATTAGTAGAGAACTTTGTTACCCTTCTGCTCCAAAAGGGTAAGTTGCATTCAGTTTAAAGATCTCTGCAGTGACACCAAAAGCAAATTACCTGGTAGCAACAGAAATACTCTTAACACCATTTCCTTAAGCAAAATGTTAAACAGAGGGTATATATATATAAAGTCAGAACTGCATGCCAATCCTAATACTTTAAATACACTGCTTAAATTGCTACCAACTTTCAGAGCATTTTTTGAGACACCTCAAAATTTGAGTTTTTGCTTTCCTACTACATACTCGGCATAAGAGATCTTGTACTGTTCCTACTGTTGCCAGAAATATGGACTTTTAAAGTGGAGAGATTAAATCAGTTTGCCCTGGCAAGTCCGGCTGAAGCAGCTTCCAACCCTACCAGCCTGTTTCACCACGAGAGATTCCCAGCACTGAGAGAGATCCAACAGCAGGGAATGCTCCTGTGCCTCTACAGCTCCTGTTCAAGGCCTGAGGCTGAAGCTGCCAGCAAGGCTTTCAGCAAGGCTCTGCAGATGGGAGCTACAGCATCTGAATGTGGGCACATCTCTCTGCCTGCCAGAGCTGCAGGAAGCAGAAGCATTCACAACATCAGTGATGATCTACTCAGTGAATCCAAGTCCCATGAAGTTCAAAACAGCTCCACATTCCTGCCTCCTAACTTGTGAAGCAAGCTTATTTTCCATGAGTAAGTTTTTTAAAGGCATTTACCCTACTTAATTTTGTATCAACACATGTATTAAAAAAAAGTATGTGCACACACATATGTGTCATTCATACATACAAACAAAACCACATACATAGATGTATGTAAAAAGATGCAGTGTGTTTTCTTCATCACAGACAAGTCTCTAAAGAGAACTAAATATTAGTAAAATTTTTGCTTCTCAAAGTAAAAAAAACTAATAAAATAGGTGTTCTCATTAGAGCTGGACAGAATTCCTTAACTGCATTTCCTCTTTTATATTTAAAAGGTATACATTTGGACAAGACAACTCCTTCAGGAGGAGAAAAAGAAGCTGTTTTCATATTCAAGGTATCTTTCCTAAGATTGCTCCAGAAGAAAGTCTTCCAAGCATGCAGAAGAAATGTGTGTGTTCGTAGTTATGAATTTGGAAGTAACAAAAATGAGTGCAGAAGTAAAAAAAAATCTACTGGAATTTATTCCACTTTTAAGGAAACAACTACAATTCCAAAATGTTCTTCGGTAGACAGAAGAAACTGGAGTTTATGAAAGTGCAGTCTGCATCATAAATATCCTCTTCAGATATAGATATTATTGTGACTTTCACTGGTTATCAGTAACTTCTTCAAGATCTTCGTGCTTTCAGATACATCCTAGGAAAAGGAAGAGATGATCAGCATTAGCTACACTGCTGGTAACAAAACAAAACAGCCTCACTGTCCTCCATTTCATTTTTTATTACCTTTAACATCAGTTTTATTAAAATGCTAACTCTGAGCAAAATTCAGGTCTTCTGCATGAAGGTTTTCAGAGATCTGCTAAAGGCTTCAAAGGAATTTGCAATTCAACCACAGAAAGGGATTGATTTGTTGTTTTGCATTCCTCTTTGCTTGTGTGTGAGAGGAAGAGCCAGCAGATTTGCTGTTTTCCATCAGAGTTTAAACATTTACATACTGCTCTATCAGTCTGTGCAGCAGACCAGTAAAAGCTATAATGAAAAGCATGCAGGAACTGAGAGTTAAAATAATTACTTTGGTACTCATATATCTCTTCTGGCGTTTAGATGCAAGTTCAACTGGCAAAACTGAGAAGTGTTTTGAACCAACTACAATTAAAAACATTTCAGGAAGAAGCAAAACGTTCAATTTAGTAGCTATAATGCCATGATTTCACAGCTGCTTGATTAGTGCAAAATTCGTAAGAGTCATCTTTAGAAATTCAGTCTTTTAAGAAGTTACAGGCCAAAATAAATTTCTTCAGAAGCTGGCATGTGTGGTTAAGACAGGAGATACAGAGCTAGGAAAGAGACATTGTGCATTTGAATGTGAATATAAAAAACATAATATGCTTTAAACATTTTAACATGACACACCTCCAAAGGAAACTACAGCTTAAATGATCACAAGAAATCACTCCCTGATATATAAGAGCCTGAAAAGACAAAATGAAGTACTGACAGAAGCTGTAGATGCATTACTTCTAAGCAACTTCCAAACAGATGTCAGAGCAGGGACTGTAGCAGAAATCACTGTCCTCTGTAATTAAAATCTGTATTTTACTGCCTTTTTAGGTGGAATCCTCACAGGAGTACATTAACAGCAGAACACAAGAGATGACAGACAAAAACAGACAAAACCTCCCATTAATTTTTAAATATGAAATTTTACCTTGACTAAACTCTTCAGGACTTTAGAAGAAAGCAGAGGCTTGAACGCTTCAATTGTAACAGTGTCCAGTTTGATGATATCAGTGTAACACTGATACAATACTGCAGGAATCTGCCACACTTGACAGTAACTCAAAACTAAATACAAGTCAAAAGAAAATGCGTATTACATTCAGCAGAGAAGGAATCTAAATTCTGTGTTATAGTATCACATTTGTTCTGGCCAGAACTTCAAAAGCATAAAAGCATAGAATCACAGAATGGTTTGGATTAGAAGGGACCTTAAAGATTATCTAGTTCAACCCCCCCTGCCATGGGCAGGGACACCTTCCACTAGACCAGGTTACTCAAAGCCCCATCCAATCTGGCCTTGAACGTTGCCAGGAGATGGGGCAGCCACAGCTTCTCTGGGCAACCTGCTCCTGTGTCTCATCACCCTCACAGTGAAGAATTTATTTCTAATATCTAATCTGAATCCACCTTCTTCTAGTTTAAAGCCATTGCCCCTTGTCCTGTTACTACCATGCCCTTGTAAAAAGTCCCTCTCCAGCTTTCTTGTAGGCCCCCTTTAGGTACTGGAAGGTTGCTATCTATATATTCCATAAATTTCCACTGGAAGCAATGCTTGAAAGTTTATAAACTAACTACTCAGGATCTTAACCGCTGGACCATTCTTCATTTCCCAGGTACATGAGAAAATAAACCACCAAAATTTAGTCAAACATTGCTGGTACTTCTTTCTGGCAAATACCGTAGCTGGAAACTGTATTACTGGTAAACAAAAATGAGATTCTGTAAAACAAACAAACCAACAAACAAAACCCAACCCCCCGTAGAACTCAAAGTGTGAACAAGATAAACATTTTCTAGACAAATTATGCACTTTGAGCTCTTGCCAGAAACCTTTTCATCATGATGCTGCCACTAATTTGGTCCCCTATAATGAAAAGCCTGGCCCGGTTTATGACATTACATAATAAAAGTGAATCTAACTTTCACATGAGGTCGAGCAGTAGCACTTTGAAATCTGTTACCTGTAATATGCAGAAAGAACCTTATGAACCTCAATTTGGGTGTTCAGATGAAACCAACTCTTACTAAAACATACTTAGTTCATGAGCAAAATGCTCCCCAGAGCCCTACAAAGCATGCAATATGCTTTGTGAGGCTATGCAGAAGCATTTGCTAGTACTTATACCCCACACATAAAGGGTAAAAGGATTTGAGGGTGGTTTTGAAATTTGTCCTTATTTCACAAAGCAATATGCAAGATGTGAAACTGTTAGGAATTATTTTTCAAAAAGCTAACTTGTCAGCCAGTTTACACAATTAAGCATAAATTCTGATCATACTGGGATGCTCTTCAAAATTTATTTTGTGTCACCACCAGCAGCAATTGTTACTATTGGAACTGCAAAATACCAGCAGCAGGAAGATCTCGCACAATGTTGGGTTGTTCCAGCAGTGGGCAGCAGACCTGCTCTTTGAATTCTTTTGTCTTTAAGGCTTTCAGAAAGGGAGATGGGAGTGTTAAAGTGGATTCTTGAGTTTTGTAATCAGCTACAGGACACGTTGAAAGAATGGTTACTTGCAAGCCCTCCTTTCTCATACAACCAAAAACCTGAAATAAAAATGTTAATAGATAAGCAACATTTATCTTCTCACTAACAGAAAGATTTATTTCAATTTCAATGGAGATGGCAAAAGGCAGCTTAATTCAGGTTCCCTGGACTAAAATTCGAATTGCAGCCTTCAGGTAGAAATTTCACATGCACTGATCTTGGGATGGAGACAAAAACCCCCAAAAGAACAGCTAATGTATTTACCAAGCCTAGTGATTTTCTTGAGAGGCTTTAGGTTTTCAGCATTTCTGTTCACCTGCAAATATATTAAGCATTACTATTTTTACTAATGGTGATTGTAGAAAGAAAAAGGACTCTGTATAAAACCAGGCTGCTTATAACAGGAGAGCAGCCTGCTATGCTGCAAGACATCTGAAACTGAAATTGTGCTCCCCAGATGTTCCACAGTACTTAAGAAGAGCCTTCATTTTAAATACTCAGATTTTATTTAATTATATCGAAGAACCTTCATGTTTTTCACAGTCCTCCCCAAATTCAAAGCAAACAGTTTCAAAAACATTGTACAAAGCACACTTTTGGATCCATTGCATGCCACCACAAAACACCAACACACTGCACAGTCTCCTACTGTTTTCAAAGAACTATGTCAAATATGACAGAATGTCATATGTCAGAATGAGCAGAAGCATGATAAACCTGCACCTTCCCTTCAAACTATCCTCTTCAGATTTATGACCAGTAAGGAAATAGGGAATTTGGTAAACATTACAGAAACTCCCCTGTTGCTGTATATGATACCAATCATGGATAGAAGGGAAGCTGACTGTTCCCTCAGATCAGTGCGTTACCACTGTAATATAAAACTGAACTAACTTTTCAGAAGCACATATATTTTTAATTTACTTTGCTGGAAATGCTATCTGGTATGCATTACTGCAAAACTTTAGCCTCTGAGTGCTCATTTTATGCTGAGAAAACACATACAAAAGTAAAAATCTGACTCAATAAGACTGTAAAGATGCTCAGCACATCAGGATTTATGAAGCATACAGGTCAGGTCTGTAACACAAACTAAAAGCAAAAGATTACCAGCACAGTGCTTCTGCTGATTTAAAAATACCAGTAACTATGAAGTCTAAAAATACTCAAGAACACTAACTTGGTAAAACTGCACACTCCTACTACTCATGAACACCCACATCTGAAGTAACACATTTGAGCAAACAGCTGGAAAAACACAAATGGGAGGACAGCAAATCGACCATCATCTTTCTTTTGTAATCCCAGTTTAAATGACATGCAAGAATGTGTGGAATACAGCAAACCCAAAATGGTTTAGGTCTTCAGGCTTCTAAACTTCAAAGAGAACTATTACCCCCCACCAAAGTGAATGAAGCTCTTCAACAAACAAGGAACCACAAGAGTCTAGTTTTCCAAACTTGGATGCGAAACCCCTGTATCATTCAGTGAAGTTACCCCAGTTTTCCATCCTCTTTGTGTTCCTGTAACCTCTTTGGCCACTCACACTGAGCTGCTTGTACGGCTTTCCCTTGCAACCAAGCAGACCTTCTCACAGGCTGGCTGGGCCAGCTGGCAGCTGGACTGAGTAGGTACCACTCAGCTTAGGCTGAGGACTTGCTCTCGGTGGATGCCCTGCTTTTTACCTCACTCTCTGTATCTCTACCAAAGCCCTACCCAGCTTCAGCATAATGTAACAGCTTCAGAATCTCTACTTGAACAACGAGCAGAGATTTAAAGGAAGGTAGGTTAGCAGACAGACAGCAGACAAAATAAGCCAATACTTCCTAAAGGCTAAGCAGCGACTCAAATCCATAAAGAAAATCAACAGTCAGAACATACTCCCCTGGCTTCATCTTATTAAAATCAACAGGATGATATTTGGAGGGACCTGAATAACCCAGCAGCGTTCATGTACCGAACACATCCATTTGTCAAGGCATCATCCATCCTAAGTTTCACAACAGGTTTGTCTGGTCTTTGGCAGATGCACAAATACAGTTATGTTACTGTTTTTTAAAGAAGGATTCTCCAGAGCCGAAGTAAGCCACAGGAAATTTAATCCAAACAGGAAAAAGGCTTGGAAAGTAGTTAAGGGTGACAAAACTGAAACTCTCCAAAAGAACTAACTGTAAAAGTTGGTAAATTACAATGGGCAGCATCTAAAAAGGAATTTCACAGAATCTGCCCATAGTAAATCTGTAGGATATTTAAGAGAGGCACAGGGAAAACAGTTATTTACAATGCTGTCATATTGAGAATATCAGAGAGGAAGAGGCACTTGCATCAAGCTGAAGATCCCCACCGCTAAGGTTTCATTACTCAATTTGTGGTCTTGCCAGTTTTACCTTTTCAAGCCACTGGAACTGCTGATCCTCAGCCACGTAACAACTGCACTGGCACAACCAAACCTTAAAAAAAAAAAAACACCACCAAAGAAGTTGTGTAAGCAAGTGGTTTAAAGGGCACAAAATAGCTCATAATCACATGCAGAGATAACGTGACTGCAGCAAACAACTTGATGGCTTTCTTGGGCTTCTTCAACTCCATTTCGACAAGAGTTTTTAATTTACAACTGATGTGAAGCAACTGTGTTGTCAAATGTCTTCTTTGTACTGAACTTCACACACTAGAACTTGAAAAGTTCTAATAAGCTTAATGACCCTTCAGATTTTTTATTACATTAATCCAAAATACTGCAGTTCCAGTGGCTGCTTTGCCCTGGGCAGGGTAAGGGCTGGACAAAGTTGCTTTTACAGAAAGCTAAAATGTAGACGAATTCATGCATAAGCCACTTACTGTTGGATCAGATATTAAGCGGTAAAACAAACAGAAAGAATCTGTTGGGAGGACATCTGTTGTGCTGGATGTTCGACACCACTCATTCCACAGCTTCACAGCTCCAACTACTTCCCAACATACAGAATCCAGGATAAAAGAAGACAAGAAAGCTGCAAAGAAGAATAAATGCTGTTAATTTATCAAGAATAAAGTTTCTGTTCTACAAATAGATACCCAAACTGAGTTAGATTATTTCTTTGCAATCTCAAGTTAAAAAGAAAAATATAGTAATTAATTTTTAATAAGCATTTATTGACCAAATCCAGAAAATATCAAAAACGTGAGTAAGCTTACTGTATCAAGATTTAAAAGGTAAAGAGCAGTTCTAAATATAGAGATTCCTAACATCAAAACCATACATTCTCAGGAATTACATCACCATGGTCAACTTTGATTCCTTTAGCATTTACACTAAGAATGTAAATACTAAAATCACAGAATGCTTGGCTTGTAGGGGACCTTAAGAGATCATCTGGTTTGAACCCCCTGCAGTAGGCAAGGACACCTCCCACCAGGCCAGGTTGCTCAAAGCCCCATTCAATCTGGCCTTGAGCACTATTAAGTGTTTAATACTTCTTAAGTCTCTAATACCTACTAAGTCTCTAATACTTCTTGACATACCAGATAAAATAGATTTCTAAGAAATAAATAAATAATAAAAATGGAATCAGAAAGGCAGAACTATTACACTGGCTCTAGGAAGCAGAGACAAGAGAACGCATGACTTAGTGGCAAAAAGGGATCCTAAATCAAGTGTTCCTAAATCAAATTCCTGTCAAAAGTCACCCTTAAACAGAAGGCTGATCCAAAATACCTAAAACTGGTTTTCAAGGAAAAACCTGAACAAAGGGAAAACAAGTGAGCAAAGCTAACTTAGATATCATTTAAGTGTCATCTAGATGTGGCCTAAATGTAAGGAAGACTTAAAAGTTTTTTATATTCACAGGGAAACAGCTACTGATACACTCAAAACCTTGCTCAGGACGCGTGGGAAAGGGTGAAGGTGTTTCAAGACTGCAGGCCTAATGAGTAAATAGCCACCTCAAAAGAGGACATTTTGAACAAGTGAGGAATTACAATGTGGAAAAGGGACTGACCAAGAAAAAAAAGTAAAATAAAATAATTGTTGATTGGAAATAAAAGCATACTTGATGCACAATTTTACGTATTTGACAGACCCCTATTGAAAACACTAAACTGCACTGAGCAACTTGCTACTATTAGAAGACAACTTTCGCCTATTAACAAACAGTCCAGGAGAGTCTACCAAAGTCAGATGAAGGAACAGGGGGGTTGTCCCAACTAAAATCCAAACTCAAACCATACTTTGCTTCAGCCCTTCAACTAAAGATACATCATTTGACCATGATCTGACAGGAGGAATAGTGAGCTGTAACAAAAACTGCATTCTGTGTTTTACACACTAACTGGTTTCTCTGGACAGCTCAGCTGCCTCAGGGTTAAAACTCCACTCCCTAAACCAAGAGATGGACACCCTTAAGGACCATCCTCACAGCAGAGACCAACATTAAATATGTCAAAGGGAGCGTCCTGGCACACTTAAAGCTTTCTTCCAACCTCCCGCCTCCTCAAATTTAGTCATCGAAGGGCAACAGGATCTGAGAGTCTCAGGCGGTTTGCTTCTGCAGTCCGCATCACTTACCTGCAGCATTACGTCCTATTGCAAGTATAAGTTTAGAGCAGACAAACAGCTCGTCGGCAGAGCTTTCCGTAGGCACTCCCGACTTCAGTGTCCAGCGGACGTCGATCTCCCTGGCAAAAGATGTGGTGCAAGTGGCGCAGCGCTCCCCCTGCCCTGTCCCAGGCCCCCGCCCAGTCACAGCGCCAGGCCCGGCCACCTCTGGAGGACCATCCCCGGGGAGGCCGCATCACCGCGGCCGCGGGGCCCCAGGGGCCACGCCCGCCCCTTGGCCGCTACCTTTTCTTCTCCAGCTCCCTGCGGATGTCCCGGTCCTCGGGCGTCTCCGCGCACCCCTCCTCCGCCGACTCCTCATCGTCCACGCCGGCGCGGGACGGCGCCACTACCACCTCCCCGAAGAAGGTCGCCATAGTTGTCTCTTGGAGGACAGCGCGGCTGCGCGGCACCGCGGAGTTCCGGCTCCGCCCGCTCTGGCCCCGCGGAACGTGGAGAAGCGGTGGGAGCCTTCCAAGGTTCTGCTGGACGCGGACGCTTCCAGCGTCGGGCCCCGGCGGAGGCTGCAGCCGCGGCACCGGAGCACGGCTCGTCCCCGTCCCTCTTGCGAAGCCGCCATGCCAATCACCGCTTTGCGGTCCGGCGGGGAAGCCCCCTCCTTCAGCTCCCTGCCCCCAGAGGGGAGCCCCCGCCGGCCACTGGGCTGCTGACACAGGGGCAGGAACCCAACTACAGCCAGGTTAAACGTGCCAGTCGTGGGCAAATAAGAGTACAGTTGCCGGTACAATGTACAGCTTTACTTTGGTCCGCTTCTACGGGTACATCAAAGTATTTAAGGAACTCGATTCTCTAATGCTGCTGTCTGGACTTTTAAAGTTTTCCTATGCCTGTTGTCACTGCTCTATATTCAGGTCCTGATTTAGAACAGGCAAACTCCCCCCACCCAAAAGAAACACACTAAAAATACCCAAACAAAACAAACAAGAAAAAAGCTAAAACAAAACAACAGAAAAACCACCAACATCCCCCCCCCCCGATCCATTGCATGAACCAGCTTTAAAGACACTACTTTGCATGACTACTCCCCGATTTTACTTCCCTGAGTGCAGCTAAAGCAAATAAAGAATGCTGTTTAAAATTACCAGGAAGAAGAAAGAACAGCTTTCTCAAAGGCTTAGATTAGCCAGTTCTGAGGCTAAGCATGCACATTTAAATAAATAATTTTAAAACCCCAAAATATAAAAAAAAAAAAAAAACCAACACAAAACACCATACATCAAACTCCCAAGAGAGCAAAACAGTAAAAGTCCTTTTCCAGTTTAACCATGCCTCCTCCTCCTGTAATTCCCTCTTGGACACAGAAATACTGAGGCTAGACCCTTCCCCTAGCCTTGAGGGTGACCATGTAACATGCAGTGCCCAAGTGTGGTGTGACAGCAAACACAGCAACTAAAATTGGTGAGAAAGGAAACCATCTGTCTAAGCCCAACCTGGAAATACAAACCTACCAGCCCAATTTTAAACTTAAGATTAATAAACACTCTGACGTTCACTTAAGAGCTATTACACCAGTATTTATTCCTGCACTGGAGGTTATACTCCGAACGTAGAACATGGATCATAAACAGCTGCTGAACAATGCATTTGGTTCATGGAGAATATAAAAATACCAGTTGACCTACTCTCTTTTAACAAAGCTGCCCCTAAAAGGTCAGATACACAAAACCACCTTCAAGTTTCATCACTTCGTTGGTTTAGAAAACAACTTAATGAATTCAGATAAGCATCTATCTTGAATTTACAAAACTCTGCTGTATCACAGTAAGGACTATGCTCTGAATAAAATTCCTAGGGTGAGAATGATAAAAAAATAGGTTGGTTTTGGAGTTCACATAGAAGCTTTAAGGGGGAAAAAAATTCTCTCTATACTTAAATAACATTTTACATAGCAATAAATAACCTTTTGGCACATAACACCAGCAATGTTGTTGGAGAGAAGTGGTTCTCACAAAGTGCTGGTAAGTTGTGGGTGGGCCTCCCTTTTCCATCACTCCCATTTGCAGAAGCATTAATGGCACTAATGACTGTCTGTGCAGCTGCATTAGCTCCCCCCCCCCCCCCTTCCAGAAGTTACTTCAGTCCAATCCACTGGAAAACCAGTTCACAAACTTGCTATTTCAGTTAAAATGAACTGGGTGAGGATAAATCTAATACTCTAACACATCTCCTGCTGAGCAATGACCTCAGAAATGACTAGATGTTGCTGAGTGTGAGCAAGGGAGCCACTGGAGCCGAGGGAGGAAACCCACAGTGGGGAATGGAAAAGGAGTGGTATCACTAAGCGCCTGGTGCTGAGCAGCAGACTGGGAGTTCCACCAGCACAGCTCCAAGAAAAAGCAAAGGCATTCAGAAGTGCCACATGTTCTTGTAGTTGACATGTGGCCAACCAAGAATTGGCACATTTTTCCTGGAGAAATCTTCTCCTGCCCTCTACACAAGAATTATTTCCTATCAACAACAGCCACCTCAAACGTTTTAAAAATAGGAGATGTATTATTAATTATCAATCATTATTAATAATCAGAAACTGGTAAGGTTTAATCAGTGAGAAGTCTAACATTAAAGCACCTAGAAGTTTTAATCTGGAAGAACAACAGAAATGTAGCAAAAAGGTCTGGAATGTAAGAATCCTGCACCTCCAGTTTTTCATGCATAAAGAAAACAGAACAAGTGTTTGTTTGTTTTTCTATTTTATAAAGAAAACACACAAAACCCCTTAGGCCCAAGAGTTCACCTGCATTTCATACTCTTAAGTTTACAGTATAGAAGTCACATTGATGATGATAGTACTACCTGTCAGCAGAAACCCTCTCTTCACCAGTGCCAATAATATGCCTCTGCAACCAGCAACTATGCTTTTTCACTGGTAGCTGGTTCTGGTTGCAGTTACCAATAATGCACATACAGAACATTTAACGTCTGTACTAACACAAGTTGTAAAGTTACTAGCCTAGTGACCGTTCGTTACTCTTTAGATGCAATGCCAGCATCCACTAGATTTTTATAGTGTATAGCATTATGTATAAGCCTGTTCCTATTGTATATGATTTCATACAGCATCAGAGATGTTTGAAATCTGTTCTTGAATGTTGCATGACCTAGGTAGTATTCCATTGCAGCACCCATAACAATAATACTCAACATACTGCTATTAACCTGTTGCGCAGTGTTTTAACTTTTTTCCTTTTTTTTTTTTTTAAACTTGTTATATGTAATAAAATACCAGTAAAGACAAAAAAATTGCCCCTATAATGAGGCACATTTTGGCATCTGTGCTAAATGCTGCTACATGGGCAGGCAAGTGCAAGTCAAAATATGAAAAGGAGAAAGTCATCATCTAATCACATTCATAACTTTTTCATAGAAAAATATAAATATATTCCCTGAAATGTAGGACAAAGAAGAGCCAGCATCCATCATGAGTTCTAGTGCTATTACCAAAAAAAAAAAACAAAAAAAAAAAACAACAAAAAAAAAGGTGGGCTGGCTTTTCCTTTTAAGGTTACGTTTCACAATCTACATCATCTAAACCTCTGTCATCATCATCGTCATCACAATCGTTGTATCTCACAGTCCGTCTACCTCCATTCCGAGTTCTTATCTTAGAGCGCCGATTAGCTCTTCTATATTTGGTGTAATCCAGATCTTCAGAGTCATTTTCTTTGTTGGGTTTCCAACGTTTCCTTCTCTGGGGTCTTCTGGAAGGCTTCAGTGAGTTGGAACTAGTAATTTCTTTTCTAATCCCTTCGAATTTCCTTTTCCTCTTTTTTGTTTCTGTGGCATCACTGTAGACACTGTTATCAGTTCCAGAATCTGAATCAGAAGAACAACTGAAACTGGCTTTTGAAATCCCTGCGGTCCCAGGTGCTTCCACATTTTCTGATGCTAAGCTTTTTTCATCTTTCTTCCCCGTTTCAGATTCTGATGATTCTTTGAAGTCATCCAATAATTTTGATCTTTTGAAGGAAGCTCCACTTTTTTTATTTGGTACTTCGATATTTTTAGTTTCGTGTTTAGCTAAGTCAGCATCTACCTCCTCTTCAGAATTGCCCGTACAATGGTTGTGGGCTGAAGCTAACCGATTAGAACTTCTCCAGTTTCTCCCATTTTCCATCTTGTGGTTTATGGAATTGCCCTCTGAAGAGTCAAATTCAAGATTTTTAAGAGCTACAGCACAGACAGTTTTGAATGCCTTCTTGCAATTATCATTCTGGTGCTGAGTTACTTTTATCTCTGCTTCAGATTCTGTTTTTTCGTTCTCAGACTCACTAACGTACTTTCTTTTAGGAGCAGATGATTCAGGGCAGGAAAGTTTTTTTCTGCGAGAAAGTTGTTCTTTTTCATTTTCAGACTTTAAGCAACCATCTACCTCTGAGCTGCTGATCACCTTCTTTCTGGATGCTGTAGACACACTGCCATGAAGCTGCATTCTGTTCTTTTTTACTGTGCAAACACTTTCTGAGCTTGATAATTCCTCCTTTGTATCACTCATTATCTTAATCTTATTGGCTGCCAAAGTGGCACATCTGCGTGGATTCTTCTTCTCATTAGACAGCTTTATGTGCTTCTTGTAGTTAATGATACATGTCCTGCTCCTGAGCACTTTCGCACTTTGTCCGGTCTCCTCAGATACAGATTCTGCAAAATAAAGATTTAAAAGTTTAGCAATTTGCATTCCTGAAATAATTTGTTTACTAAGCACAACACTACCACCTCTTATAAAATACACAAAACCTTTTTCTTTTTTACTTCAGCTGTTACATGCAATTTGCCTTAAGCCTTTACTAAAAATACAGTCAGCTGGGCACAGGCTGACTGTATTTTTAACTTATTCTTAACTCTCAGGATTACTCTTTTAGTTTGAGTTAATGAAATGGTTTTAAAGTAACATTCTTTAGCATTCAATCTAGTAATTACCTTAGAAATTTCAGATTACCTAACTTTGCAAACAAATGCTGTCATATTTCTAATACTTTTGTCATTAAAAGTGATAATTTTCTTCGTAGAATGAACTTTTAAAATTAATTATTGCATATTTTAAGCCTTCTTATTCTAAAAAAAAAGAGATTATAATATTTTATGGAGACACAAGCTCTGGATGGATTTCACAGTTGTTTCACATACACAGAGAACATTTAAACCCTTCAGTTCCTTGGTGACTTGCATTCCAGAAAGGCAATTTGCAAAGGTGGAAAAGACTGCCCAGCCTTAATACCAAGTACTAACTTAATCCCCTTTGGCTATCTGAAGAAAAGAACGCTTAAAACTTAAAGACAACATTTGGAACTATTCCAAGAAAGGCAGTTAAAAAAAACCAAACCAAACCAAGGAGTAAGAATGCACACAATACTTTTAGCCAGGTTTTCACAGACAGGTGCAAAACACAGTTGTGTGTTTTGATAAAA